AAAGAGAAAGGCAGTGGCCACCAGCACAGCAGAGCCAGCAGCTTCCTCCTGTGCCACTGCCCAGAGCTTTTCCTAGAAACAGAATGAAAACAGGCATGGCAGAAACTTGCTGTTTCATTCTGACCATGACTGTAAAGACAACCAACATGAGAACAACCATCATACACTTGACTGACACATTCAGCCTCAAAATTGCATCTATAGAAACACACTGGCAGTGGTAATTTGGAAAGAGCCGTGCCTGGCTGGGGAGGGGAGCAGGACCAGCAGCATGGGGCTCTGCAGGTCCCTAAGGGAAGGCTGTTGGTCACAAGTGCAACTTTGTGTTTTGGGGTGGGGAAGGAGCATCTCTGTGCACAGCCAGCAGCCACCTGTGGGGCTCGAGGAGGCTCCCAGAGAGCCCAAACCCTCTCTCAAAGAGAGGATCAACATCAACTGAGTCCAATACTCAGTTCAGCCCACAGCTCACCTCTACTGCAAGAACCCAGTGCAGGAACACTTTGGATGTGTTTCCATCTTTTAAAAGCTATGAAATACATACCATTGTGCTCCTTATTTGAGTCATATTTGTTGAGTGGCCACATAAGTGATATCGCTGGGAACACACTCTGCTATCATTATATCAAAAAACAGAATAATTACTGGAACAATCTGCTTTTCAAGATGCTAATCATAGCAGGTTTTTGAGATTTCAATCAGGTTTTGGTGCTTCTGAAAGCTATTGATTTGAAAAAATCCAGGACAGGCTCCTAATAATTGTGTCATTAAACCTGTACCTCAGCAAAGGCATTTCCTCTTTCATCCTCTGTCTTTTGTATGCTTCAAGTTAGAAACTCAAATCAGCATAAAATGCTTGACAAGAGAAGGGAGAAATGTATTCAGATTGAATCTAGTGATTGCAGCTCATTCGTTGCAAACAGCTCCTTCATCAGGGCCATCGGGTGAATGATTAACCTCTTCCATCCACAAACAGACAAATACCTTCAGTCACGAGGAAGTGACGCAGGAAAAAAGGTTAACTGGGTTATCTGTGGGCACAATGGGAAGGGACACAGCAAGGCTCAGGATTTTCTGAGCAGCAAATACTGCTGGCAGGAGACAAGGCAGGGAGAAATGTGCCTGATGCCTGCAGGGAAGACGCAGAGGGTGTCCCGGTGAGAGCAGTGACATCGAGGTGTCCTAGTGCCTCGATGCTTTGCTGTGGCTCTGCCTCTGCCTGGCCACATCCTGCAACACGTGGTGAGAACAAACATTCCTGGGGAGCTGTTCCACCAAAGTGGTCATCTTCCCAGAGACATGATGCTCTCACAAATGAACCTGAGCTGCTCTCACCCTGCAGAGCAGCAGTGCCTGCCAACACGGAGCAGCAAGAACTCCTCTCAGGCTGCTCACAGGGTTCCTGCAGCCAAACCTCATCAGTTATCTCCCTGCTATCAGCTCCACCAGAGCTTGGCGTGGGGCTGGCATGCCTCCAGCCCCTGGGGTGCACCCTGACATTGGTGTGACCAGTAGTTCCAGCAGACCACTGGTTTTGAGCAGCTGGAGAGCAGGCACAGAGCAGGTAATAGAGCTTCTGAGCAATTAATTCAGCACATAAATAGAGTGGCAGTTAGCAGGTACACGCTGCTGTCCCTTCCAGTCACCCCTGGCACTGATCTGAGAGCTCTGCAACAGGTAAGAGAGGCATTTCTGGGCACAGGCTGTGGGAAGGGCACTCTTGGTTGTGATGGGGGAAGGATTTTAACTTGGACTTTCTTCCAAGCAAAGGATTATTGAGGCAAATAAAGCCAAACAGGGTGACAGAAAGGCTCTGGCAGTGGTGGAAAGGCAGAGAGGAGAAGTAGAGAAACTGCTGGGAAGGCTGGAAAACACAGGGGTAAATGGGATATGTTGGTAAATGAAGATCAAGGTGAAGTCGTGATAGTCTAATATGTATGTAAGGAAAAGGAGTCAGAAGCAACAATTAATTTAAGCAGAATGAGAGATGAAGCAGTAAAATAAATTCATCCAAGTGTCCCCCCTGCCCTGCCTCTCGCAGGGTGCACACCACACCAAAGGGACACTGCAGGCAGCAATAGCAGCAGCACTTCACCAACTTTGACTTCACCCCCTGAAACTCAGGTGCTTGTGCAAGGAGGAAGGTCCTGGGATAGCCCCTGGTCACAGCAGAGCAACCAAAGGTTTCAGAATACAAATCACCCCCCTATAAAATAGTGTAAAACCAGCATTTTGCTTTGCATGATCTCCTTAAACCGTATTCTGTATTTTCCTATTGTTACCAGACTTCTGGGAGTTTTGAACATAAATAAGAAACCACAGAACTTCATCTTTGGCCTGTGTACTTTTTAACAAGTAACTCCTCAAAAGTACCCAAAAAATGAGGCATTAGCACCATGCAAGGGATTTTACTGAAGGATGTAAGACTTTACTGAAGGGTGTAAGGCTGGAGGCAGCCACAATTCCCTGTCTGCTGTCAGACCTGCTGCTCCACTGACCCCCAGAGCATCCAGGGAGGGAGAGCTGGATATCCTCAGAGCTCCTGCACCAGCTCAGGTCCCAGCGCTGCATGGGTCATGCTGGTAATGCTCAAGGCAGAAGTGACCACATAGGTTTGTTTCTTCCTTTCTAAACGAATCTGCTGACAGAGGTAAACACAAAGGAGAGGGTTGCCAGGAAGAGAGGGGAACCCACCATCACCTCACTTCTGAAATGATTCATTTTTGCTCCACAAAACAGATACTAGCAGTGGGGCTGTATCAGGCTGTATCAGGCTCTGAGAAGTACTCCACAGCTTGGGGAAAAAGAAAGGGAGAAGAAAGGGAAAAACAACAATCAAATCAAGCTACAAACCGAGTTCACTACACTGTTACACCAAGGCAAAAAACTATTGAAGTAAGAGTCAGCAGTAGGTCAAGTTTTACAGATTTTAACTCATTATATTAATTACACTATGTTATAGAACTGAGTGTGGTTGTTTCCAAACTGCTTTTAGTGCTTTCAAATCCCAGTTTAGAGCAAGGGCTCAAAGGCCTCTAGCAGGAAGGTTTTCCCCTGCCTTCTAACAGAAATTCCCTTCTGCTTCATGGGTGTGATCCCAAATAAGTAAGGGCAAATGGAAAGTAAAAGGAACCATCCTTCCCTTGAACACAACCAATACAACTGCCAAAACCCAGCATGTATTTAATAAATGCAATGTAGATTGTTTTATTTGACCTTCTGTTCACAAAATAATTTTATTATATGTATGAAAGCAGCATACAGGCAATAAAATTATGAAAACATTCACAATACATAAATACACAGACCTGATGCAGGATGTATAGAGTTTGTTAGACTTGAGATTTTTGTTCCCTCTCAGTTCTCTTTTCCTGACAACACCTTTTTTTTTTAAATTGTGATATATATTATGAAAAAGTTGGGTATTTTCTCCCATTCAGGAATGAAATCAACTTCTTTGAATGCTGCTGAATATTCACACCCAATGTTCCTGTTGCTAATGCTCACTGATTGCTTTTGGCATTACCAAGGGAAAGCAGCAGGGAAGGACAATGGAAAAGTAGCAGGTTTTGTTTAATTAACCATTAGCAACTTTTTTTGCTGTTGTTGTTTTGGAGTTCACAGGATGATTTTGAGGTTGGGGCTGCAGTTCCATCTGTGTTTAGAAATGTCTTAATCCCAAATGGCAATGAGGCACTATTCCTTATTGAATGTGTATTGACATGGCAGTTACTGACACGTCACGTCCTCCCAGTTCCCAAAGTAAAGCACCAGGTACCTCATGTTTGGATTCTGACTGTGATAGAGGAGCAGACAGACAGCAATGATCCAGGTGGTCCTGCAGTAACACCGATGGGAACAAGGTTTGGCATCTTTACTACCATTATAACCCATTGTGTTTGTTCAGAAAAGATATCCAAGACTTGAAATAAGAAAAGTCTGAGAAAGCTGTTTTATCTTACATAAATACAAAACATTATGTACTAAGAATTGTTATCTAAGAAGCTTTCCTCCCCAAATTGGATTCTTCTTAAGGTTGTAGTCATGTTTAAGGTATTTACAGAGCCACAAACTCGACATTCTAGCAAAGTCTTTGTAACAGGAAACTTTTTAAAAATAAATAGCAGCAATTTCTTTGATTTCTATAAGGGAAGAGAATTCACAACTCAGTCAACTCTGGTCCTATCTCTTGAAAGAAATCCCACTTCAAAAGGAAAAAAAGCCCATAAGCAAACCAACCCCACTCAGTTCTGTCGATTCCTTCCCTTCTTGATGAGCTTCTTAGCTCATTCCTCTTCACTCTCCACTCCCCTCACCAGCTCTCCAGACTATCCGAGCTCATAATAAAGTGCTGACTGGTTGACTGGTCAAAATGCAGTTAGGACACTCCAAAAATATCCCATTATTTAGACATCTTAAATAACATAAATAAAGCTAGATCTGTTCTAACATATGAAAAATATCAATTTAAACCAATAAATAAATAAAACCAGTATCAACATATTACCTCCCAAAGCTTGAAAAATAACCATTCTCATTATAAGGCTCAATTGTTTGTCAGAAATAATTTTAAGAAGGCATCTACCTACCTTGACAATCCCTCAGGCTTCAGTTAGGACCTGTTAACACCCACTATCACAAGACACAGCAAATCTTTTAACTTCTAGTAAACATTAATCTTGAAATACTCAACATTTATCTTTTGCCTCATTTTAAGATGGAAATTGCTTTCTCTGGGTAGAGAATTGTCACTGCACTGTGCTTAAATTTGTGTGTTTCCCTCAGTGTGAACAGTACAGTTTAACATCCTTTTTTCTCACCAATTTTCAGTATCTTTTTTTCTGATTAAAATGTTAAATTTGCTTTGAATGCCAAGAAAAAAAAATTAATTCTGGGCTTGGTGTAAATGTGGTTTCTTTCTCCCTAGAGCTTAGTTTCTTACAAAAAATTCTTGTATATCTCTTTTTCTTTTTTTCCCAAAAAGATTATTCCAATATACACCATTAGGTCTTGCTGAGTAAACCTTACTGTTCAGGTTTTATGCTGCCCATTTTGTGTAATGGGATTGATCTTTTCCAAAGAAACATCAGCTTCATAATCCAAGATACCTGACAGTGCTGGAGACATTTTCTCCAAGGTCTTAGATAGTTCACCTTCCTCTTCCTTTTTGAGAGGTTCTTCTTCTGGGCAGATAATTGCATGTGGAATCAGATAAACCAGATTGGACTCTTTGGGGCTGGACCCTTTGGGCTCATGTTGGCTTGAGAAAACAACTGCTCCATTATTGTTGATACTAACAGTCTCTATGGCATTGCCAGACATGGGGCAGAGCCTGTAGCAGCCCAGCAGGGTGGAAAATGCCTTGCGGAAATCAGCATTGAAGGCATAAATGATGGGGTTGAGGGAAGAATTGGCCCATCCAAACCATACGAAAACGTCGAAGGTGGTGGAATTAATGCAGAAAGCCTCTGCTCCCTTGGATGGCTGGGTAGGCTCACAGAAGGGAATCATGCAGTTCAATACAAAAAATGGCAACCAGCAGCACACAAACACCCCCATGATCACCGACAGAGTCTTTAAAACCTTTGTTTCCCTCTTGAAGGACATTTTGAAGTTGCTCTCTGGTTGCTGGCAGTCCATACTGCTCCTGTTGCCACTCGTGTTCTGGCAGTTCTTGGCATGCACTGCTGCTCTCTCCAGAGCTGAGATGCGTCGTATTTGCTTCTGAGCAATCCGGTATATCCTCGTGTAAGTTACTATCATGATGGCCACTGGTATATAGAAGCTAATTAGGGAAGAGGAGATGGCATACATCCTGTTTAGGCTAGAATCACAGTTGTCCATGCTTATACCTTGTAAGCTGGCATTTAGGTCCAAAAAGCTCGTGGTTGTAGCCTTGTGCCAGTTCAGCTGCACAGGGATGAAGGAAATCAACACGGACAAAGTCCATGCCACGCTGATCATGATGAAGGCTGCCTTGGGGGTCATTTTCCTCTCGTACCTAAATGGGCTGGAGATGGCCCAGTATCTGTCCACACTAATGACACAGAGATTTAAGATGGAGGCTGTGGAGCACATAATATCAAAGGCCACCCAGATGTTGCAAAATGAACCAAAAGGCCAGAAACCAGCGATCTCGGCCACAGCCTTCCAAGGCATGACCAAAACTGCCACTAAGAGGTCTGACACGGCCAAGGAGATGACAAAGAAGTTGGTCACCTTGGACCTGAGGTGGCGAAACCTAATGACAGCTGCACAGACCAGCGTGTTTCCCAGCAGCGTGGAGAGGATCAGTAGCGAGAGGAAGCAGCCCGTGAGGATCCGAAAGGAAGAAGAGTCCCTTTCCACCAGCAACCCTTCCCCGTCCATAGTGGTGTCGTTCCAAGTCATAGTTTCTCCTGAGGGAAAATCATATCATGATTTTCATGGTGACATCAGCTCCTTTCCTTGCAGACATCAGAGACATCAGACGTCCATTAATTACTCATCACCAAACAGACCAAAGGTCCTTTCTTACAGTCCCTTTGTCCCTGGACAGACCTCACCCACTTTGAATCACCCTGAACCACATCCTGAAAGCTCTACAAGCAGAACTGAAAATGCACAAACCCAGTCCACCCTACAGACTGGGGTTTTTAGCAATCCCTTCAGAAACACACTGCACCACCCCGGCATGAAGTAGCTCACACAGCTACTACTACTTGCTCAGTAACTGCAACAGCTCACCTGCAAACGTTCTGCTGTTGTCCTCTGCAAACACACCCCACAGAGAGGAAAGCAATCACTTTTCCATGCTTGCATATATTCCCACTTAAATAGACTATTGATCGAGTGTTTCCAGTGTCCATTGCACTAGCCCTTCATATTTACTGAAGCGTGTTATACAAAGTGCCTTTTCTCTAGTTCCCTAAATGTCTCACTGATGAAACACTCCATCCTTTCTCCTCAGCACACTCCTGTTACAAGATACACCACTTCTCTGTTCCTGGGCAGCGTGAGAAAGCAAATCTTCACTTTGTTTCACACTGCTTTACATTTCCAAGGCAAAGAAAACAAACACAGAGTAGGTGTGTTTTAAAGGTTTTCAGTAAGAAGCAGCTCAGGTTATTTAGCTTTATTTAAACAAGAAATGCTGGCTCCTACCTTTCACCTCTGATTCTCTGTTAGCTCTGGGATGCAGGGCCGTCTCTCCTCCTCTTTTAGGTTTGGAATTGCATAGCAAATCTTATATACAAAACCAACACAGGAACGCTGCATTGCATCGTGTGTGTGTGTTTTTCCCTGAAAGTGCAAATTGGCAGGGGAGAAGTAAGTGTTGGACCATCAGGAGTTAGTTTTCAAGGGAGCAGCAGGTCTGTGCAGTCGGACCGTGCGTGACGGACCCTGCTGGTGTGTGCCCAGCTCCCTCCATCCCACGGCCCCTGCTGATCACTCGGCAAACTTTCTTGGCCGGATCAGTCCTCGTCGCACTTTGTACATCCCGTTGAAACGGCACATCAGGGCAAATCATCCCAGGCAAAAGGCACAGTATTCCCAACACTGGCGAGAGCCGACTAGCAGTTCTTTCTTCTGTCGTTCGCTGGATGGAGAAAGAAGGGCGAGAGGAGGAGAAGGACCTGAGTGACCTTCCCTCGGCCAAGACGCCGGCGGTGCCCGCAGTGGTTTCCTCTTCCAGCAGGGACAAGTCGCTTTAACACTCCACTGCCAGGTTATAGCTCTCCATAACCGCTCCGGAATAATCCCACCTCCTGCTCAGCGGGGCTGCGCTCCAGGGATCGGGTCCAGCTCTTACCATGCTTTTTCCCTCTCGGAAAGGCGCAGGCGGAGGCAGCTCCTCACACTCTCCCGCAGCCCGCCCCGGGCCGCGCATCTCCCGGCTTCCTTCTGCCCGGGGCAGGGCTCGGCAGCATCGCCCTCCAGGAACGGTCTGTCTGCCCGGCGACTCCTTCCTAAAGGATTAAGACAAGGGAAAGACAGGCATGGAGGCAC